GGGTTCTGCTGGACATTTATATGAAAAAACTGTTACGTATGCATGGGGTAAGATAATAATTACACTGATTTGTAAATATTGATATTGTGTGCAATGTTATATTGTCGATTTTTACCCAATGTTCCTATTGTGTCCAATTATTAGTAGTATGAAATAGTAGCACGATTTTACCCAGCGCAGCGGGTACCCGCAGCTAGTAATATATACATGCGAAAGAGCTATATATCTATGAATATATACATCCGCACTGATTCTGTGCCGTCGCACGGATTTATATTCATACGCTGACGCCACTGCGTCTACACTTCCAAACCTTCACAAGTATATATACATGATTGTTGGTGGACAAATTTAGATGTTTTTAAGCTGAATACGCAAAAATGTATCAAAGACAATGTTCGAGAATTAGGTATATTGGCAAGCATTTCAAAAAATTCATGATAAATATTAAATAAACACGTGAACTTAGTTTAGTAAACAGCGTAATGATTTGAAAGTAGTAAATGTGCGCACAATACGCGCACTATTTCGTATCACTATTTTATCAAATTTCTCATAAAATAATGGTCGGATTTTTAATATCTTTGCAACTTTTATTAGTACAAATCTTATTACATAGGATACGAGTAACCTGGCCGCTGTAACTTGTGGTAAAAAAGCGTTACAAATTGTAACGGAAAATCTACTTGTGGCAGTAAAAACTTGTACTTGTACTTGTACTTGTTGTGTTGGTACTTGTGGTGGTACTTGTGGTTGTGTTGTGCAAAAGGTTGAAAGCTTGTTTCGTCGCTCAATGACGTCCCAGTGTCGATTGTACCAAATTAAATTTTTTTTTTGAATAGGGTTAGGGTCACAATGCATCTTAAAACGGGAGTTTGAGTCCGTACGGACGTGACGACACTGTGACGTCATTGAGCGACGAAACAAGCTTTCAACCTCTTGCTTGGTGAATCATATGGGTGAATTGAGCCAGTGCGAGAGCGCCATCTGTCGTGGAGTTTGATACACGCACTGCTGAGAGCAGAAAACTCGAGTAAAAAATATTATACTTTACAGAAATAAATCTGTAGTTGCTTTGAAACACGCGTTGGTTTAATATGATGCCCCTGCGTATAGCCCCGCAACCCCAATTTGTCCGCAACTCTTTGTACCCGTGTCAAAATTAACAGAACGCACGCGTGCACACCCCCATAATGTTCTTTGCAGCGGACTAGACGCCATCGAATGAAATAGAATGGAATGAAATGTGTTATACATACATCGCAAAACCTCCATCTCTCTCTCGCATTCTATTTTTCTCTCGGTGTCTCCCTGTCTCTTCCTCTCTCTCTCTGTCTGTCTCTCTTTCTCTCTCTCTCTCTCTCTCTCTTTCTCTCTCTCTCTCTCTCTCTCTCTCTCTTTCTGTTCATCTTTCTATCTCTTTATTCCTCTCTCTTCCCACCCCCTGTCTCTCGTGCTCTCTTTCTCTCCCTCTACCCTCTACTTTGGGTGTGTGATGCTTTGATAATCTGGTACGAACCCTTTTGATATTTGCTCTCGCTATTGTATGTAGGCCTACTTAATAGGATACGTTAGGCTGTACATAAACCCGTTGAATCGTCTACGTGTACTTTACCTGACTGTGGCAATCCGAAGCCTTTGTAACGGCATTTAGCCGCATACACGCGTCTGTTATTTACCCTGGGAAGTTAAAATATCTGGGAACTAAATAATGGAAGGCACACGCGCGCACGCTTTCACGGGTTATCCACGTGTCCACTCCGGAATCGCGCTGACTGCGACACACGCTTACATTTTACCCTTTAGGCACGCAGCTCGATTGTTGCGACAATGACGGCTGTGCGTGGCGGCCATGTTTGTTCACTCTCACGCCGACCGTTTCATTACGTTCTTGTCCACGCACCGTCGCCGCCTCCGCGCTAAATTACAGCTTCAGGTAGAATTTTCACGAAGCCCAAGTAGTAAAAACTTTAAAATAAAGAAACACCTCAGCTCGGGAAAGGCTGGGTCTCTGCATCAATCACATGGCATTTTCTGACTTTTTCCCGACCTTTCCCCTTCCCTGGTCGTTCGCTAGTTCCCTTCGCATATCCTGTTCCGCGGAAAAGAGGTTCCGATACCCTGGCGGAAACCATGGGTACCAGCGAGCGTTGCTAGTAACGGCGTAGTTACACTCATCTCACTTATAGCACCTGTAGAATTTAGTCTGGCCCTAGCGAGTGCAGTGAATCTACTGCTGATGTGGTGTAGTTCCAGTTCAGTCACTCGTAACACTTCGACTAACCGTGTTGGTTAATTTTAGTCCACTCACTGATAGTACCTTCAGAATATGGTCTAGCGTGTCGAGTGAATCTACTCACCTCCTAGTTTTACTTTACTCATGATCATTAATAGTGGTATCAAACTATATATGATCTCCCATATTATTCCATGGTCTGATCATGTAGTAAATGTAGGAGGGCGAATCTACTGCGTTTTAGTTTCAGTATAGTTTAGTTTAGTTTCAGTATAATAATATATGCAGAACCATGGGTTCGATACTAGCGAACCTGTCGGTTGGAACCGTAGATATATATTTCCCAATATGTGAGCTACACGACGCGTCTCTGTAGTTCTCTCAGTCTTTTCTAATGTTTTCGTTTAGCGCAGCTGGACACCCCAGTAACAGCACCATGCACACGCAAGGGAAACACGTTTCGAGCCCATTTTGCGTAGTTCGTGGAGCAGGGTTAATGAACGAACACACACACGAGCGCGCGCACGCGTCGGATTTCTATGAACGCGTGCTGGTTCCAGCCAGGTTTCACGACGCAGACGTATTACTCACACACCACTCGCTTCTAATGCGAATCATTCCGCTACACAGCGACTTCGCTTTAAAAAATTTGAGCACGAATGGAAAAAGCTAGCGTGTTACAATTAGACTATAATATATATATATATATATATATATATATATCGGGAGTACATAATGCCTCTATTATGTACTGCTGATGTTTTTAGTCCAGAATTAGCTATTGAGCCAGCATCCTGAAAATATGTGCACGTGGCACAGAACCTTGCATGCACGACCCGATACCATAAATATGATATAGTACTTAAACTATGGAATATTTTTGGTTATGATGTATTGCTGAGAAAACGACGGCACTGGTGGCTTATGTTTGCTTCGTCTAGAGACTGTTGTCTTGTTGCCATACGACGGACGAGCGATGTTATAGAGGAGTTAGAGTTAGGCACATTTCTCAAGACAGAGTTACAGCGCGCGTATTGTAAATCATTCCCCTACTACCTACTCCTCTCGCTCGTCTCCCTCTTACGGTATCTCATCTATTCCGCCCTCTCTCTCTCTCATCTCCATCGCTCTCTGTCTCCACACACACACACACACCACACACACACACACACACACACACACACACACACACACACACACACCGACAACGCTGTCTCCCCGGGTTCCCGGAGTCGTCGTGAACCCTACACACATACACACACTAACGCCTCCGCCGCTGCGCCCCACATTGACTTCACGCAGGCAGGTATTTACGACTCGCTAGGTTTCTTTGTGCGTCGTCACCAATATTCAGCAGAGGGCCATCTCGTCGCATAGGATATGACGTCACGCGCAGGACGCCCGCAATGTGTCCCCCGGAAATTATTTTGCGTTGAACAAGCGGCGTCTGAAAGACGACGTTAGTGGGAGCTTTCAGCGCTAAATTGAATGTCAGCTTGATGTGTCTATTAAGCCACGCCGTATGTGTAAGGACGTGCGGGCCAGCAGTAGCAGCAGCAGTAGCAGTAACAGTAGTAGTAGCAGCAGTAGCAGCAGTTGCTGCAGGAACAGCAGCAGCAGCAGTAATAGTAGCTGCAGCAGCAGTAGCAATAGTAACAGCAGCAGTAGCCGTAGCAGTAGCAGTAGCAGTTTAGCAGTAGCAGTAGCAGTAGCAGTAGCAGTAGCAGTAGTCCGGCCAAATGCAGACGTAAAACTCCGCTTTGCTAATTCTTGAGGGTGCGGTTGTCGTGTCTGCAGGTTCACCCTTGTAAAAATCTGTTTGCAGATTTTTTGTGTGGGCCATTGGATGAGGTGAATCGAGTAGCATGAGGCGTGACGGGGGTATATCCACCCAAAATATCAAGTACAGACCTTCTGTTTGTCTCAATATCGCTTTCTGGAAACACTATTTCCGTTGTCCGAACTTTGTTTTCATGCCAATAATTCATCCTAGTCAGAGTAACCTTCGATTTTTTGGCCATATTAGACCCGATTTTTTGATCGACCAATTGCAATTCACTTCGGTAGCCTCGGGTTTCACTCGCGAAATTAATAATTCGAAATATATATAGTGGCGCGGATCTATGACGCGATCGGGAATGCCGAAGTCAACCGGAAGTGATTTTCATTGCGTTGACAAAATGTGAATGAGACGAAGAACATTTTCTTTTGGATGTTATATTTTACCATTAGGTAACAACTTGAATATACGTTCTTATGTTGTGGCCGCTACCCAGACAACATCATAGCCGTGGGCATGCGCGGTAGATAAATGATTTCAGTTCAGGATTAAAGTAAGTTCACGGCAATAGGATGTTATACATATCTGGCGCATATATTACTTAATGAAGTGCCACCTCAAACTGGAGGTGGCTTTCCGGTCATTGAGATATGACGCGGCCGCAGGCACCATGTACTGGGTGTCTGCGTCGGCTCCGACTACAGTACATAGCAGTTAGCAGTAGGCAAGTAGAGTGAAGTCACCAGTAAGCAGTACTAGCAGCTAGGCAGTAGCAGTAGCAGTAGCCAAGAGTAGCAGTGCGTAGCAGTAGCAGTAAGCAGTAGCAGCAGCAGCCAGTAGTTAATCAGTAACACAGCAGCAAGCAGCTAGTAATAGTAGACAAGCAGCCATAGCAGAGTAGCAGTAGCAGTAGCAATAGCAGTAGCAGTAGCCAGTACGCAGTAGCAGTTTAGCAGTAGCAGTGCAGTAGCAGTTAAGCAGTAGCAGTTGACAGCAGCAGCAGCCAGCAGCAGCAGCAGCAGCCCAACAAAACAACAGTTACCATCAGCAGGCAGTAGTAGTAGCAGCCAGCAACGGTTAGCAATCATGGTAACAGCAGCAACAGTAGTAGCAGAAGCAGCAGTAGAACTAGCTGAAGCAGGAGCAACAGCGGCAGTAGTAGTAGCAGCAGCAGCAACAACAAAAAAAACAATAAAAACAACAACACTAGCAAAAACACCAAAGACAAACGAACTATAACGCAGCAATCGAGGGGAGGGGGCGCAAACTCTAGTATATGCATGCGCGAGTCAAACATGGAGTTAGCAGCTAACTTTATCTTCTCTCTCTCTCTCTCTCTCTCCTCCTCACTCTCTCTTCTCTCTCTCTACTCTCTTCTCTCTCTCTCGCGCCTCTGCTACTCTCGCCCCTCGGATTCAACCGCATCGACAGGCCGCGAAAATCGATCCCCGCCCGCAGCGAC